TTTCTGCTAAATATTATCTGCCTTTTGGTTAGCCTCTCAGAGCCCTGTTTATGGGTCTGTCAGGCCTTTATATCTATGACTCAGCTTCAGTAGTTCCAACTTTTACTCAAGCTGAGTTATGCCATACCTGTCAACATAAAGTTTTTGCTGGGCATGTTTCAAAATAATTAAAAATTCCTCTATTCCATTAAATAATTTCTACTCTAAATAATACTCTACTGTAAATGGCTGTTACTAACCATTCCCCTTCCCTTCCAGCTTCAGCTTTAGTTTTGAAACCTTAGCTTCAAAGGAACCAATTTCACAGTCAAGTGAAAATTATACATATAATTAATTTATTCAACAAAGATTTTTAAGCACCTACTTTGTGCAGTGCAGTCTGAGAGATGTGGGGAATGTAAAGATAAATAATGCTAGGCCGCAAAGAATTTATAATCTTAAAATAGTAGTATAAAGCACTGTGAGACCAGATGAGGGAGAGATTACTTACAGAAAGATTAAGGAAAGGCTTCAAAGAGTAAGGAACATTTAAGCTAGTCTAAAAGAGAAGACAAGGAAGTCAATAGGCAGGTTATATAACTTTCTTTTCCTTATTTTAGAGTTAAAACATCAGGACAACAGATAGGGAGTGGTAGGGTGAAGAGAGCATACAAGTAAATATGGCTGCTGACAAGATGCCTTCCTTTTTTTGGCCTCCAGAAAAATGGAGCATGGAGCTCTTCTGGAGTGAGTGAGTGTGCAGAGCAGCCCCCTTCTTTTTTTTTCTGGGCCAGAGGATCTCAAAAGTCCAGAAGAAGTATCTCTAATATAATGTCTTCTGCCTTCCGTGAGGGTTTTTGCTGTGTTTTTAACTCTGCTTTTTGAGTGGTAGTATTGAGTACAGTGATCCAATCTTATTCTTTTCCTCTATGGCTACATTCTTTAGGGTAGCAGTTCTCTACCTTTTTTAAAAGTGAAGGTCCTCCCTTTTAATGTTAAAATATTGTATCCTTCCCCAGCAATAGTGAGAATGACTATGAAATTGTGATAATTATTTAGAAAATACTTAATGACAAAAGGCTACAAATGAAGCCAGTCTTGTCTTTCAATGAATTTATATTTTATCACATCAGTTTCTACATACATTTGGAAAACAGCAATATATATAGTACAATTATAACATATACTTATATTGATATGAGAGGAAGAATGGGGTAATACCCAGCCTCAAGGGAAGAAAGACTTGGTTTTCAAGTCCTAGCTCTGACACATCTTGACCTTGTGACCATAGACAAGTAATTTAACTTCTTAGTGCCCCAAGCAACTCAAGTCTTAAGCCAATAAATTGCTGGGTAGGTGTGGATCTAAATTGGTAGAAATTTTCTCACGGGGAGTTTCTTTTATTAGTGAAAGTACAAGTCTAGGCCCAAAACAAATGTCTGTGTATAAGACATTTCTTTATTCAGTCTATAGAAATTATGTTTGATAAAGATCAAAATGGCAATACTTAGTGAATACATAGATTCCTGGGAAACCTTTATAATAACTCCATAGATCCTTCAATGTCTGGGACTCACATTTTGGAAACTACTGCTACTTATTATTGTTGTTGTTACTGTCACTGTTATCATTTATACTGCACCTTAAGGTTTGCAAAGTACTTTACATGTATTGTCTCAGTTGATTCTTGCTGCGAGCAACACCCCTGTGAGGTCTGCATTTTACAGATGAGAAGATGACTAGTCTAAGAGAGGTTCAGTGAGTTACCCAACCAGTAAGCATATATGTATGTATATGTGTATATATATGTATGTATATTACATGTATATATGTATATATACACATATATATACACACATATACAAACATATATGTGATTGATTGTCTGCTATAATAAATATATTACTTTTTTTCAATCACTAAATTAGTCAACACTATTGGATCCCTTCAGATTTGTTAACATGTGGAATTTCAAGGCCTTAACAATAGATGGCAGTATTTCTTTTTTTACCTTTAATTTCCTCTTCATTATTTTTGTAGATTACAGTGACTTTGCATAGCCCTCCCTCACTTAAATCCGTTCACTTGCAAGTTATGGCATCACTTTCCTGATGTCACAGTCCTCTTCAAGAACAAACAACAACAACAAGATTGTAGGGACTGATTGAAATAATTCTGATTTTTTCTTAACAGCTATATATCTTTGTGAGTGTATTTCTCTGGTGTGAATGTACCTCTGATTTGTTTAACTATCTTTTGTGTTGTCGGCCATTTTCTTAGGCTTCCTCTTTAGTTAGAGAGGATATGGGGGAGCAGCCTATTATTTTGTACACTGTGCAGGACCCGAAAGAGCCAGTCAATGTCCTTCAGTGGTTTACAATCTAGTTTAAATATGAAGTGAAAATGTAAGGTCTGAGGTCAAGAAACTTGGAGATAAATAAAGCACAGTGGAAGACACACTTGATTTGGAGTGAGAATTTGATTTTGAATTTTATTTACTCCCCATTAGAATCTTAGGGAATTACTTAACTTCCCTGAGCCATAGGTTTCCTCATTTGTTAAGTTAGAAAGATCAGGTGTTCTAAAGCTAGGATCCGTGAACTAACTAACTAACTCTCTCTCTCTCTCTCTCTCTCTCTCTCTCTCTCTCTCTCTCTCTCTCTCTCCTCTCTCTCTCTCTGTCTCTCTCTCTCTCTCTCTCTCTCTCTCCTCTCTCTCCTCTCTCTCTCTCTCTCTCTCTCTCTCTCTCTCTCTCTCTCTCTCTCTCTCTCTCTCCTCTCTTTCTCTCTCTCTCTCTCTCTCTCTCTGTGTATAGATATAGATATATATATATAGATAGATAGATATATGTATGAGACTTTCAATGGAATAGATTTCCTTTGTAATCCTGTGTATTTTATATTATGCATTTATTCTGAATTCTGAAAAGTGCAAAGGCTTTGCCAAATTGCCGAAAGGGTCAGTGACCCAAGAAAGGTTAAGAACTACTGGCATAGATGATTCATTCATCTTATGATTGGAAACAGCCTATGGCCACATGAATCCAGTTGTTCCACAGGAGATTTTGTGGTCTTGACTTCATTAACACTGTGCTGGTACAAACACCTGAACTAATAAACTACAAATTATTTACGTATGCAAAAGCAAAAGGAACATGTAATAATGGAGTGAAAAGAGTAAATGATATCCTTCACAGCAGAGATTAGTCTTGGAGTGAGGTTAAAAGGAAAAGAAGAATATGAATTGACAGAACCATGTTGCTCTAACTTCTCAGTGTGGGTGGGATGCCTTCAGCATTTTCTGCATAAGGATAATAGCTTAAGAAATGATTAGCTATATAATGAAGGACTGGACTGGGGGATTCCTACAGCCTCATTCACATAGAAATTGCTATGATTTTGTAATTCCAGTGGCTTCATAGACATTTATCTCAGTCTTTCCAAATTCCTAGTAAATCTCTTCATTCAGGTGGTCTTAGCTTTCTTTTTCTTATATATTCTTTTTCACATCAGATTTAAGAGGTCTAGGATAATAGAGGACAGACATTTAATAGGTAGTCTATCTCTTGAGAAGATACTTCTTGTTCAGTAATGGTTTTGCCTTCATTTGTGTGCAAATATAATTCAAATATCTTCCTTAATTTGTACAGAGTTTAAAGAGGTACCACTTATTTATTTAAATGTCTGTTTATTTTATGTCTGTTTTCTTATGTTTTCTCTGAGTTATTTGTGTTCAATACTTGTAGTTAGTGAGTGAGCATTTATTATATAACCAACTTATGCCACATGTGCAGATACAGAAAATCTAATCTGTGCTCTTCAATCCAACCCTTCCCACCATCGCCAGTCATTTTCTGAAGGGATTCCTCTTGTTTTATATTTAATTTTAAGTTTAATTTTTCAGTTTATTGAAGTGGTGAAGGGGACTATAAACCTGTAACTGATAAGATTCTTAAGTGCTAATGTACCAAATCAGTGGGTCAGTAAAAACAGAATTTCCTCTTCATTTCCTAAGTGATTTGTCTAGGATTGATACATGTGCACACTCCTGGGAAATAGAACAATTCTATGCTATGTCTACCTTTTTCGTCTCCCTACTTGTTCCACAGAGATAAGTGGACTTTATAGCAAAGAGCAAAATACAATTTTTAAACCAATGAACCTGAAGTAAAATGGAAATATCCTAGAGGATATTTGAAAATTAGGGTGAACTTCAAGAGTAGACAGTAGGTTAAAATAGAGAAAACTTAAGGAATATCAATCTAGAATTGGCAAATCAGTTAATTAAGATGGAGCAGATAAGCCAGAGGAGGTGAAATGGGATACTGTAGAGGCAGAAGAAAAAGACCCTGTGAGCTGAGATCTCCTCTGTGTCAACCAATAGGGAATGGGAAGGAGAGGAGAGCAGAACATAACAAAGGAACAGTCATGGGAGGACCAGGACAGTGCCTACTGTAAGAAATGTTCTTGTAACATGGGATACGTTACCAGCATCAAAGTGGGATCAAGGAGAGGATGTTAAATTTGGCCAGGAGGAGGAGTGTATAGTGTTTAGAAAAGAAATGTGTATGTTAAGATGTGTATATATAATGAATGTACATCAACCTAATTATAATATATGGCATTATTGTGTTACTGTAATTATAATACATTTAGAAATGGTCTGACCAAAAAAAAATGAGAAAATAGCATCATGTTCAATAAAGAAGCAGGTGTAACTACATCAGAAATCCACGTGGAGAATTCAGATTGTCTCATAATTTCTTTTGGGTTCAGTTACGTTCACAGAAAGGAAGCTTACTGGTCCCAAATCTCATGTACTTATGGTGAAAAAGAAACTTAGGAGCTTAGTAGAAAGGAAACGCAATTTCTTAGCACATTTAATAATAGCTAACAATTATATAATGCTTACTATGAGCCAGGCATTGTACTATCTCATTTTGTTATTTGTCTCATTTATCATTTATCTCATTTTATCATTTGTATTCTTATCCCTAATTTAGAACTGATTCTTCTCTCCAGGTATGGCTAAGAAAAACGATTCTTCATTTTCTGATGTTGTAAAGGAAGTTGTAGAGCAACAGCAATCCCAAACATCTGAAATAGAGAAAAACAAAAAAATTCTGTTCCAGTTACAGGTAATTTCATTCATTGTGCCTTTAATAAAATATTAAATGTATTTAAAACTTCTGCATTAATATAAGAGAAATGATTAAAGGTGATATGACATTTCATTTTTAGGAGGCTTTTTCAACCATTCAGTTGTACCTAAATTGTATTTATATGAACATTGTAATTATGTAGAAAATGTGTCATTCTGAGCATAAAATTAATACAAAATAGTCAAGTGTTTTATAAAGGCAGCCACTGAAGCAGCTAGTTGGCACAGTAGATAGAGTGGAAGACTTGGATCAGGAAGACCTGAGTTTGATCCTTCCATCAGATATTTACTTGCTGTGTGACCACTTGGTCTTTCTGTGCCTCAGTTTCCTCATATGTGAAATGAAGATAATAATACCTACTTCCTAGAGTTGTTGAGAGGATACATGTTAATACTTTGAGAACCTTAAAGTACTATTTAAATACTAACTATTATATAAGTCAGGGTTCACACTTGTATATGTGCGTATATGAATTCTTTGTTGTTTAACTCAGTTTACAGCTTTTAATTCAATATTTTCAAAATTGTAGACCACTAATAACTCTTAACCTGGATGGAGCCTGGTGGCTTTCCTTACTCGCTGCTTCTACTTCCTCAGTACTTTACAGTCTGGCTTTTGGCCTTAATAACTCAACCGAAACTCCTCTCTCCAAAATTACCAGTGCTATTTTAATTACCAAGACTGAAGGTTTTTTTCTCAGTACTCATCCTTCTTGACCTGACTACTTCATTTGATGCTGTTGATAGCCTCTCCTTCTAGATAGTCTTTCCTCTCCAGGTTTTTGCAACACCTCTTTCCTCTCCTGGTTTGCCTCCCATTTAGAGGATTACTCCCTCTCAGTCTCCTTTCCTGAGTCACCATGCACATCATACCCCATAACTGTTGGTGTTTTCCAAAGTTCTATTCTGGGTTCTTTTATCTTCTCTCTCTTCTTTTTCTGAGTAACCTTATCCACTCCCATGGGTTTAACTATCATCTTTATGCATATCATTCCTAGATCTATATATTTATCCCAATTGTCTGTCCTAAGCTTCATTCAGTCCCTCTTATACTCAATTATTGTTGTTCTTTCCAGTTGTTTTCAGTTGTGTCCTACTCTTCATGACCCCATTTGGGGTTTTCTTGGCAAAGATATTGGAGTGGTCATTTCCTTCTCTAGCTCATTTTACAGATGAGGAGCTGAGGTGAACAGGGTTAAGTGACTTTCCCAGAGTCACACAGCTAGCTAATAAGTGTCTGAGGCCAGATTTGCATTCAGAAAGATGAGTCTTTCTGATTCCAGGCCTGGCACTCTATCCACTGTGCCTGCTACCTAACTGTCCCTTAAACTTAATACTGTTTCTCTAACAATGAAATCCTTATCTTTCCCCCTAATCCTCTCCTTTTCTAGACTTCTTCCTTTCTAACGAGGGCACCACCATTTTTCCAGGTCTCAGTTCATTATTTTGTCCTTATTCTTGACTCCCAATTCTCCCTCACCCCACATGCCCCGTCAGTTGCCAAATCTTGCCATTTCTACTTTCACAGCATCTCTCGCATTTGATCCATTTTCCCTCTTCATATACCTGCCACCCTAGTTTAGGCACTCAGCCCCTCTTGCAGACTCTTGCAACAGCCTCAATTGTTTTCCCAACCTCAAGTCATTCATGATTCCAGTCTATTCTATACACTGCTGCCAGAGTATTTTTCTTTAAGTACAGATCTAACCACATGATTCCAACAACTCGAGTGACTTCCTATTGATTCTAAGATAAAATATAAACTCCTTCATTTTGCTTTTAAAGCACTACACACTTGGCCCCAATCTATCTTTCCAACTTCGTTGTACACTATTCCTCCTCTCACATTTTGCAATCTAGCCAAATTGATCTCTCTGTTCCTCACTCACAGTACTCCATTTTTAAATCTTCATACCTTTGCACCTGTCTCACTTTGTCTGGAATATGCTTCCACCTTACCTCTGCCTCATAGTATCCCTCTTTTCCTTTAAGACGCAGCTCTGGCTTCTGAATGAAGCCTTTCCTGATTCTTCCTGATTGCCCCAGCTGCTAGTGCCCTCCTTCCCATGGTATCCTATATTAACTACTTTGTGTATCTATATGTAAGCTTATATTTCTAATACATGTTTTTTATATGTACTTGTCTCCTTCATTGAAATGTTAAGTGCATTGTTAGCACTTAATACAGTTCCTGGTACACAGTAGATGCTTAAGAAATACTTATTGACTGGTTGATTTGGTACCAAAGCACTGAAGATGATTATAATTCATGGGTATGGCTAAAAAGAGAAATAGACAAGGAACAAAGTATTTAAAACTCTTTATACAAAAAGATTTTTATTTAATTTTCAGCTATAGCTACCACCAAAATTTCTGTCCATTTTCAAGTGACTACATAAGATTTGTAGCAAATTCAGATTTCTACTGTTTAAAATGAGTTACCCTGTACACTGCTGCTACCTCCTAGAGTTCTATATCTAAGCCTCATTCAAGTTAGAAGCTTCGCATAAGTATTCATATGAGTTCATAAGAGTATTCATAAGGTAGTTCTCCTTTGCTTTCTCTTATTATGGTCAAAAACCATAACAACAAACCTAAGAAATAGAAAATTGTGAAGTTTCAGTTTTAAACATGCTTCTTCATTATGATTTCATTAGTGATTTATTTTGTCCTTTCAGAATGGTAGTATGGTATCATAGAAAGACTTTATTTTATTATTATTTGGGGGGGGGCGTGAGGCAATTGGGGTTAAGTGACTTACCCAGGGTCACACAGCTAGTAAGTGTCATGTGTCTGAGGCCGGATTTGAACTCGGGTCCTCCTGACTCCAGGGCCAGTGCTCTATCCACTGCACCACTTAACTGCCCCGTAGAAAGAGTTCGAATCCTGTCTCTGCACCTAATACTTGTGGAGTCTTGGCAGGGCAAATCCCCTCAACTGGCCTCTCTCTCCTTAGTCACAGAATGAGAAGACTGGAGTGGATGAACCCTAAGGCCCCTTCCAGCTCTAAATCTATGGTTCCATGACCACAGATTGTAATCTTTCTAGTATTTTATGAGCTGTTTATAAGCTGTTCCAAAACTCATTACAGGGTGGCCAACTTGAAGGTTATTAGCTTTTCTAAACTTAGAGTAGGTTGGTCTTTGGAGAGCAGACACAGAGGCTGTCAAACAGGCTGTCCCTGGAGCCCTGGCCCAAGGCTTTTTAGCCTGATGGGACCTTTCAGAGCCTGAATTCCACTAGCATGGTCTTCATGAGCTCAAGTTTAGGTCTACATTATGTTAAGTCATTGGAGGAAGACTTTAGTAGAAAGATCTTTGAGAATTAGATTTTAACTTGAAAATATATTACTACCACCATCACCACTTACAACAACAACAACAACAACAATAATAATGAAGACTACCATGCATTTATATAAAGTCTAATAAGTTTCCAAATTTTTTTTAGCATGTGCCAAGACTTAACTGCCCTAATTAACTGTCTAAATTGGAGTAGTTTAGACATATTTATAGACTTCCTAATTCACATACTTGGAATAGCTAGGTGGCACAATAACAGTGCTAGTCCTGGAGTAAGGAAGACTCTCGTGAGTTCAAATCTGTCCTCAGCCACTGACTAGCTGTGTGACCCTGGGCAAGTCACTTAACCCTGTTTGTCTCAATTCCTCATCTGCAAAATGAGCTGGGAAAGGAAGTGGCAAACCATTCCAGTGTCTTTGCAAGAAAAGATCCCAGATTGGGTCAGGAAGAGTTGGATGTGACTGAAATGACTCAACAACAATTCACATGCTTGGATGTGGTCCTCAAGAACATCTTAATTGAAATTATTCCTTAGCAAGTGATGTTTTTCCTTTCTTAGATTAGTTCTGGATTTAGGCATGGATATCAAGGTATCAACTGTGATAGCATTGATAGCAGTATGGCAACATGTTTTTGATTGTTAAGTACTAGACTTGTCTATCATATAACAATAAAAATATGTTCCATTCTTTGTCACTTTCCACATTTATCTTGTTTGACACTAACAACAGCTCTACAAAATAGACTGTATAAGTAAGTAGACCTGTTCTACATATGAGAAAAATGAAATTCAGGGGTTAAAAATCTTCTGTAAGGTCTCTTGGCTGGGACTAGACTCTAAGTCTTTGGGTATATTCTCCAGTGCTCTTTTCACTTTACCACACACATGTTCTCTTTGTGTTACTTCTATTATTTCACAGAGTTATGCTTATTAACACAAATTTTTTAACGTATTGTCAAAATAAAATGTTAGGACCAAATAATAAAAACCTCATAGCTAAAAGTAAGTGAAAACTGTAGAAAATAGAGCTCCAAGTTCTATAAGAAATTTTTAAAAATCACTCTGAGATTTCATTGTATTTTCATTTTCTTGTATATCAGTTTTTCCAAATCTGAGAAATACATATTTTTTCTGATTGTTTAAGTGATTTTCCTGCATGTATTATGCATCAAAACGACTTTCCTCTGATGTTGAATATCATGAATTAATAATGATAATGTTGAACTATATTACAGAATGAAGTCTGTGAATTTGAGAAACAAATAGGATCTGTCATAGCAGAGACCAAAGAAATAGAAAAGCACATTTATCAACAAGAAAGTAAAATAGAAGAAACCAAGCTTCGTTGTGGAAGCCTAGAGGCTCAGATCAAATCCTTACATGCAGAAAATGTAAAGCTCAAATTTTCCATAGAAACAGCACAAGAAGAGTTTGAAGAGTTCCGTATAAGAAATAATGGATATGATCAGAAAATAAGAATATATAAAGAAGGTATTGCTGAGGCAGAAAATAAATGGCCATTTATGATTGAACTTCATCTGAAAAAAGAAGAAATTAAAAAATTAATGACAAAGAAAAAGGAACTGACCCATGATCTCCAAAATCCAGAAGGAAACGTGATAAAAGAAGCACAGGTTTGAAATATTCTTTTTTAGAGCTTATCATTTTTATTTTTTGCAAGTGCTACATAATACATTATCTGGCAAGGGAGTGTTAACTCATAATTAAGCAGTAGGCCTACTTGTTAAACTCTGTTTTAACTAGATTCATAAGCTGCTCAGATGGCTTTCGTAATTCTTTTCAGTTTTGTGAAGTGTTTGAAGTGAATGACAACAGTGTCAAATGTGTGGAGGCATAACTAAAAATGAAATAAAATCAGATTTATAAAAATATATAGGAAAAAATACTATGAGCAATTAATCCATTTGTGGTTAAAAATTGTGTTTCAAAGAAGTGCTCGAGCACTTGGTTCCAGACTAATAGATCCAAACCAGCTCAAATCACTTTAGTATGCCTGATGCTGATATGGAAATAATATGAATTAATGCTTGTACCTCAAGCTGTCTTCTTCTTTTTCCTGCTGTTCTTTGAAGACTGGGAGCGACAAAATTTAGGATGTCAATCATTTCTTCGTGCTGTTGCTGGGCTGTAGCCACCATGACTACCATTTATCTTTGTGTCTTATTTCTACTTGATTCTTGGTTCTGTTTCAGAATCTAAGGGGTTTTGATCTAATTTTAGTTATGTAGAATAGAAATATTTAAATGATGCTTAACAGCTTCTAGGTATGTTTTTCAAATCACAATGATAACTGTGTTTTAGGTTTTATGTACTAATATTCATCTTCAATTCACCCGTGTACTTTCAATTTTATATATAGGAAGAAATTATGAATCTAAAGGATAAAATTGTAGCTGTAAAGGCATCTATCTCCATGAAAACTAGTTTGCTTGAGGAAGAGAAAAAGGTACATGAAAAATTGACAAAAGAAATAGAGGTAAGTTTTAGATATTTGAGTTAATTTTTTAAAATCTCAGTTCTATATCACATAATTTTAATACAGTTGTCAGTTTTCCATTCTAGTGAAGGCAGAGGAGTCAGTAATCTGAAATTTTAAAAAAACTAAATCTAAATTCATTTGTCGGATTTTGAAATGTGACCAGGGAATCCTACTTTTCAGAGACTCACAAAACTTCACCACAAAAGGTGGGCTGGCCCTGCTCATTTTTACTCTTTAAGCTGTGATTCGCTGATTCGTACAGCTGCTCTGTTACCACAAAATAGTGGAGATGGAATATAGATTATTAGAACTGGGGGGAGCCTTAGAGTAGACAGTATTCTATATGGAGGAATCCTTGGACATCATCTGATCAGCACGAGGCTAAGAAAACGCCAAATGTGGAACCAAAACACAGTATCCTTGATCAGAAATGTCTAGGGAAAAGAATCCAAACTGATATTTCTTCCCAAGACTTCGTCATTTCTACCTCCACTGCATCTCTTGGGTCCATTCACCTCTCCCTCCTCACACTGCTACCACCCTGATGAAGGCTCTCATCTTCACTCCTGCAGTAGCTTGCTAGTTGGTCTCTGTTCCTCAAGTCTCTCCTCACTTAGCTGCCAGAGTGATCTCCCTAAAGCACAAATCTGACCCTAAATGCCAGGTTCCCTTTTACTTCCAGGATCAAATATTAAATCTTTACTTTGAGTTTTAAAGTCCCTCACATTTTGTCTCTCTCCTGCTTTTCTAGTCTTCTTACACTTTACTCTCCTCCATGTATTTTAGGATTGGGTCCCACTTGAATTCTTGCTGTTCCTCACACGTGACACTCCATCTTCTGACTGTCTCACTGGCTTCCCCCCATGCCTCTTCATTTTTGTGTCCTGGCTTCCTTGGATTCCTTCAAGACTTAGCTTCAGTCTACCTTCTGTAAGAAGTCCTTTCTTCCTGCTCCCCCTCCCCACCTATGTACAGAATTGTTTGCATGTTGTCTTACTTATTAGAAGCCAAATTCCTTGAGGGAAGGGAACATGTTTTTACCTTTCTTTGTATCCCCAGCATTACTAAGCTCCTGGCACATAGTAAACCCTTAATAAATGCTTGTTGACTGACACTTCATTTCCAGGAATGGTAGTAGGTATGATTACTAATCCCACAATAAAAGATATAATAGCAGCTTGGGGGTCTGGATGAAGCCAGAAATGGTAAAGGGTTACCCATCAGAATAAGTGATTTTTGAAATTCTTTCTTAAAAGTTCATCTCTTGTCGGCCAACCTTTTGTTGATGAGTTTTTATGCGCTTAGTAAGGCAGGCTCCTAGACACCAGAGGTACAGTTTATTGCCTGATCCATGCCTAAGACTATCCAGCTTAGAAGGAACAGACAAAGCTTGTCTTCTACTAATCCAGTCTTTGGAAAGCTCAAGGACATCACAATGCCACATGGAGACTTGGTGGGCTTTAATGAAAGAATAATCATCACTTTTTTTTTTAATAGCGCATATACAGCTTTAAGTAGGACTGAATTTTATAATAGTATGATACCACAGTGACACCTTAGTGACAATTAATGTTCAGATGGTTATAGGAGGCAATTTATAATAGAGAGAAAATAGATTAAAAATAAAAATCTGTAATAAAACTGCAAATCCGAAAATAATGCATCTTAAAAGTATTAATTTAGAAATGGCTTATTGTTTCTAACTTAATTCATCTGATTTAGAAAAATATGAGAGTACAAACTGAATGCTCTTATACCATAGACCATGAGTATAATTTACATTTCACCAACAATGAAAATAAAAATTACTTTTCTGGCCAAGATTAATATTCTCAGATGTTAAATCTTCTGTTTTAAAAGTTCCTATCTATTTCAGTGGCATTGATGTTTAGATAGAAGGGTGGATGAATCTGAGACTTTCATTTTTTATCACTTCAGCAGATAACTTCATGCACTGAAAATTAATGAACTGTTTCAAAGCCTTATAACAGCCAGTTTTGTCAAGAATATCTTTTCCATTATAACTTTAGCTTTATTACCTTTAATACATTTAAAAGTAGTTCTGTGTTAATGCTACCGTAATATTAGAATTGAAAAAATAAAACTTAAAAAATTAGATGCCCCAAGATTGTTATAAAAGCAAAGACTTATGTATTTAATGTGTTATGCATACCATAACATATAATAATAATAATCATAGTAGCTTGAAAACATTAATTTTTATTGAATCTGAAGAAATTTCAGTAAACCATCAGCTAACAAGTATTCTTCTTGAAATAGCATATTTCTTGAAAGGATATATGTTTCAAAGCTAAAATAATTCTGTATTATCCATCATACCTTTTGCTGTTTTTGTAAGACACTACATGATATGGTGGGAAAAACACTGGTCTTGGAATCAAGCAACAAGCATTTATTAAGTATCTGTTGTGTGTTGGAATCAGGTAATATATGAGTTTCAGTCACATCTCATACAATTACTAGGTGTTTTTTCTAGGTGTTTTACCATGGCTAAGTAATTTATTCTCTCTGAGTCTTTGTGTTCACATTTTGAAAATATGATGAATAATAACTCAAAAAGTTGTTGTGAGGGAGCCAAGATGGCAGAGTAAGAGGTGAGTCTCTCTTACCCTCCCCTATTAACCCCTGAAATCCCAGAAAATATCACCCCAGGAAAAACCCTGGAACAGCTGAACCAGAAGATGGGGGTGCAACAGTCCAGGAGCCTAGGTATCTTGAGGAATTAACTGGAAAGGCCCCTCTTACCTTGGGGAAAAGGGAGCAGTACAGAACGGGAGGCATCCCAGCAAGCTAGTGGAAACCCCCACCTCATCATACCAGGAAGAGATCCTGAAGCCCAGGTGGTGGAGCAGGCAAACACCAACACCTGGACCCCCAGTGCCTTCTTGAGGGGAGGGAACTGGTGGAAACCAGCTCAGAAAACCACCAGGTGCCTAGGCATTCTGCAGCAACAGGCTCTTCCAGTGCCTCAGCAAAACTAAGGGAAGCAGGGCTCCAAGGGGCCCCAGGTGGACAAACACCCTACAACATCCATCTGAAAGAAGCTGAAGAAAGCAAAAGGAAGGAAAGGCCTGGGTGAGCAGGAAATCTCCAGGAGCCACACTATCCAGTCCTACCCCTAGAGTTCCAGTGTTCCTGATTCCAGCCCAACACCAGGTAAACTGCCAGAATCCTACAGCCTCCAACTGCCAACATTGGAGGCCCCAGTACACAAAGCCATGTACCAGGCCCTAGGCTCCCAACACAAGAAGCTTGGGTCAGTGCCTTCTGCTCCCCAGCAGGAGAGCCCAATCTCTAAAGGACAGTAAATAAGCAAACACCATGAGCAAAAAGAAACGTAAGATAGATTCTTATTATGGGAAGAGTGAAGATCAAGGCAGAAATTCTGAAGAGGACAACATTATCAACAAACCCACATCTGGAACCTCAAAAGGGAATATGAACTGGTCTGAAGCCCAGAAAGCCTTCTTAGAAGAGCTCAAGAAGGATAAAAAGTCAAATGAGAGAGGTAGAAGAAAAAATGGAAAAAGAAATGAGAGGTATGCAAGAGAGAATCGATAGCTTGGAAGAGGAAAGACAAGAATTAACTGTAGAAAACAAGTCCCTAAAAAATATAATTGGCCAACTGGAAAAAAAGTACACTGAAGAAAACAAGTCCCTAAAAAATAAAATTGGCCAAATGAGGAAGGAGGTACAAAATCTAATAGAAGAAAACAATTTGTTAAAAATTAGAATTGAGCATATGGAAGCTAATGACTCTATGAGAGAGCAAGAATCAGTCAAACAAAAGCAAAAGAATGAAAAAATAGATGAAAATGTAAAATACCTCATTGGTAAAACAACTGACCTGGAAAATAGATCCAGGAGAGACAATTTAAAAATTATTGGTCTACCTGAAAATCATGATGAAAAAAAGAGCCTGGACAGTATCTTTCAGGAAATCATAAAAGAAAACTGCCCTGAGGTCCTAGAACCAGAGGGTAAAATAGCCATAGAAAGAATCCACCACTCACTGCCTGAAAGAGATCCCAAATTGAAAACACCAAGGAATGTAGTAGCCAAATTCCAAAATTACCAGGTCAAAGAGATAAACTCCAGAGGCTCCTATTACCTCCAGGATTAAATACAGAATCCTCTATGTGGCTTTCACAGCCCTTTATAATCAACCCCTCACACCCCCACCTTTCCATTCTTACACACACACACACACACACACACACACACACACCCTGCTCTAAACCCCACTCTCCCATACTCTTCAATTCAGTGACACTGGCCTCCTGACTCTGCCAAGGACAAGACATTCCCATCTTTAAGCTCCAGGCATTTTCTGTGTCTCCTGTACAGAAGGGAATGTTCTCCCTCCGTATCTCCACCTCCTAGTTTCTCTGGCTTCCTTCAAGTCCCAGCTAAGATCTCACCTTCTGCTGGAAGCTTTCTCCAATACTTCTTAATTCTAGTGCCTTTTCTCTGTTAATTATATTCCATTTATCCTGTGTATAGCTAGTGCATGTATATGCATTTGCTGGTTGTCTCCCCCCCACCCCTATCAGTCTGTGAGCTCCTTGAGGGTAGGGACTGTCTGTTGCCTTTTTTTTTTTTTAGGCAATTGGGGTTGAGTGACTTGCCCAGAGTCACATAGCTAGTATCAAGTGTTTGGTCTGAGGCAGAATTTGAACTCAGATCCTCCTGACTTCAGGGCCGGTGCTCTATCCACTGTGCCACTTAGCTGCCCCCTTTTGTCTTTCTTTGTGTCCCGGGTATTGAGCATAGTGATTGACTTATTAAATGTTTACTGGTTAATTGAGTCAGGACCGATACTTAGCTCTCCTGACTCTTAATCCAGTTCTTTCCAATATTTCATGATGTATATAAAGAGTTAACTATTTAAAAAAATGAAAAAACTTAAAATGGGTTAGTAAAATAAAGTTTAAAGCCCACAGCTAATATGGAAATATATTTTGCATGACTTCATATGTAGAATGGATATCATATTTCTTGCTTTCTTAATGGGTAAAGGGAACTGAAAATAAAAATAAAATTAAGAAAAAACATTTAAAGCTTCTCTTTTGAATATTTAAAATAGAAAAGAGTTTAAATTTAAATTTAGTTGAGATCACTGAGGTCAGGCAGCTTGGGCAAAAAGTTTGACCAAAACTAAAGTTTGACTTCATTGCCACCACCGTTTAGTTCAAGAAGCTGCTATTGATGTTAACCCACCCATACCCAGTATGCAAAATTATGTATTTCAGGGAGCTATACCTGTAGTATGAGCTATGTCTCCCACATCATCATCATGATCCAAGTTTAGGTATGTTTTTGTGTAATAGATTAGATCAGCTTTCAAAATCCCCACTAGCCCCAGTATTCTATTTTCTTATTTGTTTAATAGTTAATGTCCTTTAAATAACCAGTACCGATATCAGGAGACGTGAGTTTTTCTCTTCAGGTCTCTGAAAACATACTGTAATTTATCCCACACTACTTGACTTTTTTTATTTTAATCCCAAGTATGTATAGTACATGCATACTCTCAAAAGATACTCTAGAATTAATATACAACATGTGGAGAATAATTATTTAGCATTTTTAACAACCTTGAAAGTAAAACTGTTGTTTGAAACCACTCTTTCCTTAAAGTGATAAAGTGTGAAAGTGATAAACACAGATTTTAATTATTATCACTAACTTGTTTGATGCAATTTATGGGACAAGAATTGTTGATTCCACCTTCTGTAAGCCTCCTGAATTCATTATAACAAAATAATAGATTTTTAGAACCAGGAATAACCTCAGAGCTCACTAGTTCCTCATGTTAAAGAAGAAGTAGTTGAGGCTGACACATTAAGTGATGTATACAAGGTCACCCCGATAATTTGTCACAGAGCAAGACTAATACTGCACTTTCAGGGCAGTGTTTTGTTTTGTTTTTTTCTACTTTACTATATCATAGCATCCCCTTATCCCTTTTCTATGTGTATATGTAAAACCATAATATGCATACTTCTGTTTATCAGTTATTTCTCTGGAGGTATATAGCATCTTCCTTCATAGGTCCTTTGTAGTTAATTTGAATATTCATAATTTGAAATAGCTTAGTCATTCAGTTATTCTTTGAACAATATTGCTGTTACTATATACAACATTCTCTTGGTTCTGCTCATTTCACTCCTCATTTCATGCAAGGCTTTCCGCGTTGTTCTAAAACCAACCTGCTCATCATTTACAACACAATAGTATTCTATCACAATCATACACCACAATTTATTCAAGCATCCCCTCAATTTCTAGTTCTTTGCCACCATAAAGAGAGCCGGTATAAATATTTTAGGTCCTTTTCCTTTTTCTTTGATCACCTTGGGAAACAGACCTAATAGTGGTATTGCTAGATCAGAGTATATACACAGTTTCATAACTCTTTGTACGTAATTTTAGATTGCTCTTCAAAATGGCTGGATCATTTCACAGTTCCATCAACAGTGTATTAGTGTCCCAGTTTTTCTACATCTTCTCCAATATTTGTCATTTTCCCTGTCTATCATTTTGGCCAGTCTGATATATGTGAAATGATATCTTAAAGTTGTTTTAATTTGCATTTCTCTAATCAATAGTGATTTAGAGGTCACAACTCCATATGGGGTCACAGCCCATAGTTTTAGAAGTACTAGAGTGCTCACAAGTGGAAAAAGTTTAAGAAGCCCTGATTTAGAGCATTTTTTTCATGTGACTATTAATATCCTTGGACCACTTATCAATTGGAGAATGACTCATATTCTTATAAATTTGATAGAGTTCTCTATATATTTGAGATATGAGACATTTGCCCAAGACATTGTCTATAAATTTTTTCTTTCACAATTTTTTGTTTTCCTTCTAATCTTGGCTATATTGGTTTTATTTGTATGAAAGCTTTCTAATTTAATGTAATCAAAATTATCCGTTTTGCATCATAAGATGCTCTTTATCTCTTATTCATTCATAAATTATCCTGTCTATAAGTCTGATAAGTAATATGTTCCATGTTTTTCCAACTTACTTATGATATCTCCTCTTATATGTAGGCCATGTATCCATTTTGACCTTGTCTTGGTAAATGGTGTAAGATACTGGTCTATACCTAGTTTCTGCCAAACTGTTTTCAAGTTTTCCCAACAATTTTTTTTTTACCAAATGGTGAATTCTTATTCCAAAAGTTTAAATCTCTATATTTGTCAAACCAAAGATTACTATAATCATTTTCTGCTATGTATTGTATGCCTATTCTGTTCCACTGATTCACCTTTCTGTTTCTTAGCCAATATCAAATAGTTTTGACCATTACTGCTTTATAATACAGTTTAAGATCTGGTATTGCTATATCTCCTTCCTTTACATTTTTTTTCATTAATTCCTTTGATATTCTTGACCTTTTGTTCTTCCAAATGAATTTTTGTTATTTTTTTCTAGCTCAATAAAATAATTTTTGGTAATTTAATTGGGATAGAATTGAATAAATAGATTAGTTAGAATTGTGATTTTTATTTGTATAGTGTTTTACAATTATGTTCATGTAATTCCTGGGTTTGTCTTAGCAGGTATACTCCCAGGTATTTTATGCTGTTTAGTCATATACTTGTTTACATTTTTTCTGTGAGTTTTTGTGTTCTTTTTATCTGTGTAAATCCTTCCTCCTTTAGCCTTTACATTTGTTGAAAATCAAACTACATCTAGAGTTTCTTTTATATCTTCCCATAGATGTTGGTGTGGAGCTTTGAATACAGTGGAAACAAGAAATGATGACTTGGATTGTGCTTACCTCACCTAACTCCCAATATGCACACAATGTATATATATAGATATATGTATATGTATATGTGTGCACACATGCATACATGCATAATACATGTGTATAAGCACACATGCATACATGTGTATTAACTAGGAAGGTTAAGTTAAGGTTTGTATGATATACTGTGTAAATATATATAAATACATAAGCTATAGATACATGGAAACACATATAGGCCTGTATTGCATATCTATCTCTATCTTAGCTGGGGTGATTAAGTTGATTAAGTGACTTTTCCTCCCTCTCGATTTCTGGGTAGAGATTGTAAATAGAGAAACAGAATAAACTGCAACGTTAAGCTTTCGTAGCGTAAGCGTCTAAACTGTACTGAAGATGGAATGATATGTATGAGGAACAGCAAGTAAGCCAATTTGGCTAAACTACAGAAAGCAGGAAGGGAAGTGATGTCCAAACTTACAGAATGTCCCCTGTGCTTGCGAGGCGTTTCCTTGTCAGTTCGACCTCTTAGAATTCCTTTTTTCCCTTCAGAGCTGATATACAGGGTTACCTCCTATACAAGGCCTTTCCTGATCTCCCCAAGCACTAGTATTTCCCCAAAAAATTTATCTTGTAATAATTTGTTTTTCATATGTTATATCTACTTACACAGTCAATCTACCAGCATTTATTGAGTCCTTACCATGTGCCAAAAGCAGTGTAGCATGGTAGGCAGAGAGCCAGCATCAAATCCAGGAAGATCTGAGGGTAACAACTGGCCATGTGACTGCAGACAGTTTACTTGACTTCTCTGTGTTCTAGGTGACTCTCTATGGTTCTAGCAGAGAAGGGGCCCACCTTTTTGTTTCTTAGCCAGTATCAGATAGTTTTGACAATTACTGCTCTATAATACTGGAATGAGGAATGAGGAAGTTTCTTACCCCAATGAAATCACAGTTCCGTTCCTAGTCCCTGTCCTACTGTGTGCCAGGTGTTGCTAATGGCTTGAGATACAAAGGAAAAGTGAAAACAGTCCCAGCCATCAAGAAGCTTATGTTTTAATGAGGGCATCAATAGATACAAAATGACATATGAGATAAATGAAAGGGAGATAGGGAGAGGAAACTTAGAGGGAATGGTACCAATACCTGGCAGGACCAAGAGAAGCCTTCTAAAGGTGACACAAGCTGAGTCATACAGGGCCTCTAAAAGTGAGAGGCTTGGGGAACAGCCAATGGAAAGGCATGAATGCAGGAGATGGACTGGTGTATGTGAGGGAAAGAGAGGAGGCTGGTATGGCTAGATTACAAAGAGGCGATAGGAGGAGAGTCAAGTGTAAGAATATTGGAAAAGTGGGAAGGGGCTGGCTTTGGAAGAGCTCTAAATGTCAGGATTTTATATTTCAGCCTAATGGTTAGAGAGAGTCACTGGAGTTTACTGAGTAAGCAGGTAAAATTATCTTGCCTAGGCTTTACTCAAATCAATGCATTGTCAATCTGGCCCAATCCTATCCATTTTTAAGGCTCAAATAAAATTCTGCCTCCTCTGAGATTATTTTTATGAACACTGGAATCTAAAGGATTACTTATTGCCTGTATTGCCTTGTATTATTATTTTTTCATGTCTAATCTTATGTCCCAGCTAGAGTGCAAGCCCTTGTAAACAGGGATTATATCATATCTTTTAAATCCTCCAAAGTACCTAGCATGATGTCTTGCACATAGTAGATACTCAATATTTGCTAATTTGATTTTTATTTGGTATTATTTAATGTATGATTATTTGATTATTTTCTTATAAAAAACAAATAGATTCTCATCTTTCTGACCTGTCTGGCTTTACTATTAACCTACCCATAGGAAGGGAACAGACTAGGCAGCATCCAGGTTCTTTTAAGAATATAATTCTGTGAATAACTGCATAACAGATCTAATCAGCTCTTTTAATCTGTAACACTAATGTATGTACAAGTGCTTTCAGAGGTAGAGAAGGCTAGATAAACGTAAGTTGCTTTTATCCTTTGTTATCATCATCTCCATTTTTCAAGGATCCTTCAGTCTCTGGCTTTCCTACATGAAAACAAAACTGTAGTCTTGACTAGTAATAACATTTGTCATTTACAAAGGACTTTAATGTTTGTGCGACAACTAGGTGGTGCAGTGAATAGAGCACCATGCCTGAAGTCAGGAAGACTCATCTTCCTGAGTTCAAATCTGGCCTCAAACACTTCCTAGCTGTGTGACCCTGTGCAAGTCTCTTCACCTTGTTTGTGTCAGTTTCCTCATCTATGAAATGAGCTGAAGAAGGAAATGGCAAACCATTCCAGTATCTTTGCCAGGAAAACACCAAATGGGGTCTTGAAGAGTCAGACACAAGTGAAAAACAACTGAACAACAACGAATGTTTGCAAAGTACTTCTCTATATATTATTTAATTTCATCACAGCCCTGTGAAATAAATACTACAGCTATGTCCCCATTTTACAGTTGAGGTTTATAGAGACTGAAAGACTTATGCAGGGCCACACAGCTAGGAAGTGGCAGAGGAAGAAGTCAGGCCTCAAATTCTCCTAGTTCTCAATCCTATAATAATTTACCCTCCACGACAGTATTTTCTTATTGCTAAGACTTCTTGACATAAGTAGACAGCTTTTCATATCCATATTTATTATTTATTACAAAGCCTATTAAAGTGTACTCTTTGTTTCAATAGGTGCAAAATAAAAGGTGTGATGCTATTTTAAAGCGCCTCCGATGTCAGGTGAACAAGCTTCAGGCAAACAGAAGACAATGGCAGTGGAATATTCAACAGATGGAACAAACTGCGGAGGAACTAAGGAGATGCATAGGAATGAGAGATTAGAACAGTGCTCTGGCAAAATGGAGAATACAGGCAACAGCGCATGTCGTCCTTGGCATCCAGTAAAATAATTTGGGAAATAAGCCTTTGGATCAGGGACTAATAGGGTCTATCTTCAAAGGGACTAACGTAGTGAATGTTTCCTTCCTTGTATTAAAATCAACTCTCAGTTGTTAATTAAGTTGTTAATTAAACTACAGTTGAGAACAGGTATGTGGTAGAAGAGTCTCTGTAGAAATTTGTACTGATTTGTGCAGATGAGTTATAGAGAAAGAAGCCTTCTCGACAGTTGAACTATATGGATGGGCTGACTGGGAAAGACCTCTTTTTACAGAGAGTCAACTCAGTTAAATGCTGAACTGTTTGAAAATTAAGCATCTAATTCTGTTCTTTCTTCTCTTTTGTGTTTCATTTAGCACCAACAAACTGTAAAACATTTGGCAAGAAAATAATACTTCTGAATTTATAATAATTTCCATTTTAAAGTATTTTAAACCTGATACTTTAGAAAGAAAATGAATATCTATTTCAAACTGTGTTAGAACTTGCCTTCTAGACATCCATTTTAGCAGTAGTCTATAACAAAGATGTTTACATTAATTCATTGTTACAGGTTCAAAAAAGTGTAACTTTTCTATTTTGTCCAGTAGGTGGCAATTTAGTACCATTTTAATCATTTTCTTTGTTACAGAATGGAAATTGAAGTATTGTAGTTATGGTTTTAAAAAAGCATCAATAAAGCTTACTGTGTTTTTCAATATATATCTTCTATGTTTGTTTTAAAATAGCATGTGGTTTTTATTTCACTAATACAATAAAAATTAGTTTTTAACGTCAACAAAAACATACTGTGTTCTTAAAAAGATAGTGCCAATTTGTTTGGATTAACCAATTTTCCTCCGTTATAGAAAGGTAAATAAGTATCATGATAGTTTAAAATGAATTTTAAGTTACCACTTTGAATGGAATGAATGAAAAGGTATTTATTATATGTCATGCACAATGCTAAGCACTGTTGATAAAAATATAAAATATAGTCCTTAGGGACTTTATATTCTAATACAGGGAGACAATATATAAAGGGAGTGGTGGCTAGGAAAGATGAGTAGAAAATAGAATGTTATACCCCTCCCCCACTCTTTGTACTGTTTCATCCCTTAAGTCAAATACATTTTAGTGTTTGTATATAAAACCACTTATTTGAAGATTTCTTTAAAAAAAACATCATTTGTGGGATTTCTTAATTTAAAAGGGAAAATGAAGTAGATATCTATTTCTTCATCGTATATAACTTTCATTGTTCCTGAGAACTAATGAGATCATTTAAGACCAAATATTTCTGTCCTAGTCCTATGATTAACATGCATTGGCCCATTTCCCGAAGAACAAAATGTAGGGAGAAAGAATGCATGAGTTGGGCTAGGTTAAGAAGAAAGAGTTGGGATCCTTGCTAAAAAGAAATCTGAGTTGTAGAACAAATGAGGAGGATGTAAGATAGTCAAGAAAAGAGCAAAGAATTTACATAGTAAATGAATTGCCAAAAAGCAAAAGACACCATAACTTAAAAAATTAAGGAAGCCTAAGTAATAGAAGAATAGACAACAGGTAGAGATGTATAGCTTTCCACGTTTAAGTTTTTACTATTAACCTTACTCCCATCTAGTTTATATTGCATTTTCAGTAGCTGCCATAAACTGTTTCATATTTGTCTGCTTAAATCCAGTGTTTAGAGTGTTCCCAGGCATGAAAAACTGAGCACAAATAGAAATATTGTGCTATATCTAGCCACTTTGGATCTTTAATTTAAAATATTTCTATATATTTTATATAACTAATCTATATGCTAAATATTAATTTTTAATGTTTATATAACAATATCAAGTCAAGACAGAACATATGCATATGTGTGCATATATATATTCAACAGATGGAAAAAACTGCGGAGGAACTAAGGAGATGCATAGGAATGAGAGATTAAAACAGTACTCTGGCAAAATGGAGAATACAGGTGACAGCGTATGTCATCTTTGGCATCCAGTAAAATAATTGGAAATAAGCCTTTGGATCAGTGACTAATAGGATCTATCTTCAAAGGGACTTACATAGTGAATGTTTCCTTCCTTTTATTAAAATTAACTCTTATATATGTGTGTGTGTGTGTGTGTGTGTGTGTGTGTGTGTATTTATATATATATTTATATATATATATATATATATTTATATATATATATATATATATATATTTATATCACTAAACTTCAAATGTTGTCAATGTGGTTTTACTTCCCTAAGGAGAAACTAACCCCTCCAGGTAGAAATATAAAGAGGCAGCATGATATAGTGGGGGATATAGTGGGAACAGCAAGGGACTCTGAGTCAGAAGACTTGATTTTTACTACCGACTTTGACACTTACTTATCTATGTGACCATGGACGAATCATTTAACCACTTTGAGCCTCATTTTCTTCATCTTTAAAATGGAGCTAATATAATATGGTGGTCAATAGTCAATCTAGTATTGTGAGAAAAGTGCTTTGTAAATCTCAAAATGATATATAAATGCATTATTATCAATTCTCCCTACCAGGATTTGGGCCTTTAGGGGGTTCAGTTCCCAGGAAAAATCTTCCCTACTTCATACCTGTGACTCATAATCTTCAAAGGCCTTGGCAGTTGTGTTTGTGTGTGTGTGTGACCTGAGTAACAACCCAGCCAAATTGAAATAGACATTGTCAGATTGGCGATAGAAGGATGAATTTTTTCTGTCATGGCAACTCTCAAAAGCCATCTACAAAGACAAAGACAGGGGGGTTGCAGCTTGTTTTGGTGAAGAGGGTACCCACAGCAATGAGACTGTAGAAGGGTGTGTACATTAGCACTATGCTTTCTTGGTACAAGATGGCAGAGCCATCTCTTACCCAAAGGCTTTCTTCCTTAGTTTCTGCTCAGCACCAGCATTATAGCTCCCCCGTCCAAAGTGTCTTAGTGAGGCAATTACCCCAGTTTACTGTTCCCTAGACGTGGCTCTACCTCCTGTGCTTCTAGACATAGAAAACCTCTAAGCTCTAAAACTTTACCCAACTTCCTTCTCTGAATATGGCAATGCCAAAGGTCCTTAACTACCTGTTTATAGCTTATTAGAACTAAAGTGTTAATTTGCTTTCTAGCATTCTTAATTATCTCTAGCTGTTCTATTCATCTAATCCACCCCTAAACCTGCCCTTTTTTATTTGCAAGGAAATAGGCTCCCTTAAAACTGTCTCATCTACATGTTTCTGCATCCTATTCATTTCACAATCAAAAGAAAAAAGACCCAAAATCATAAAACTTGATGAGTGTCTTTTTTTTCCAATTAGATAAAGATTACTCATGTTTACAATTCTATATGTATCCCCTCTGAAGCTTAGTGCTTACATATAAGATACTTTGAATGACTAGTTAAAGGTATCCTTTCGTCAGCCTCGTAACTGCCAGCAGTTGTTTTTTTTCCCCCCTTTCTTAAATTTGCTTCAGGCCTGAGACTTCTTAAAGCAGACAATTTTTTTTTTTTTGCTTTCTGAGCCCAACACCAAAAAAAAGGTGGGGGATAGGAAAACTCATACATCTTAAGCATTCGTAGAGTTTCCTCACCGTTTACAAAAGACACATATGAGAAAGTTATAGGTATCCCTGATACTGTCCATGCACTAAACAGCAGTGTTGTATTACTGTTCACATGAGAAACACCCCCAGTTCCTTATACAGAGGTCCTTGTGTGGAAGATATAGGCCAGTTGGGCAAAGAGCTTTTACATTTATAATGTTATTTACATATTACCCATTTCCCATTATCAATTATTTGTCCCAGTCAGTCAGGATTCAGTTGTTTTCACTGTGGGCAGTATCTTTTTTCCTACCTTATAGTTTTCTTTAAATACCAATTCTGATCTTCGTTCTAAGGTGGTGGCCTAACTATACAGAGATTGCCAATTCAGGGATGACTCCCACATCAATAATGAGTTTTCCCATCAAAAATAATCAATTTAATATTTTTCATTTAACTATTAAAATATTTAACTCTAATATTTAAACAAGTAATTAAACATGAAAATCTATAATGAATATAAAAATGTTTATGGCAGTTTTAATGGTTTTATACAAAAATTTAAACCAATGACCAAAACAAAAAGACTGTGTTAAAGTTGTATCTTTTTTGGACCCTCTGTCAAACCCCCTTCCCTTTCTGGTCAGGATAGTGAGCAAGGTTGTAAATGTTGTTATTGTGTCACTTCATTTGTGTCCAACTCGTCGTCACCCCATTTGGTGTTTTCTTGGCAAGGCTACTGAAGTGATTTGCCATTTCCTTCTCTGGTTCATTTTACAAATGAGGAAACTGAGGCGAACAGGGTTAAGTGAACTGCCTAGGGTCACACAGCTAGTAAGTGTCTGAAACTCAATCTAAACTCAGGTCTTCCTGAACTCAGGAAGACTTCAGGCCTAGCACTCTATCCACTGCACCATCTAGCTGCTCTTAAGGTTATAAATAGTGAGCTTAAAGTAACAATAGCAGCAAGTATATTGGCGAAAGGAAACCTAGAAGTCCTAAAGATCAAAGGAGCATAATTTGCCAACTGTATCATATATTAACCAAAAATCATCCTGGGATTACGTGCTAAATCGGGGTATGCTGTCTAGACTTTTTTGTATGTATGTAAATGATGACATGTAAATCTCAGATAAGTTCCCGACATCTTCAGTAAGGTAAGCAGAACACACCCACTGGTGCTGATAACTTTGAGCTGAAGTGTATACATTAACTATAAAGTTTTGCTGACAATTTTGAGATGATCTGGATAGGTTAGTGATCTAACCCCAACATGGCATGGATAAGAATCTGTTCCCCCCCAAAACCCTATAAAATGAGACCCCTCCAAACTCCTGCACTCTCGAAATACTCTTCCATCTTCATCTGAGTCTATGCTGCTGAGTACTCCCAACTCTAATCTATGGTTATATGAATTACTTTCTATGACTTTCCCTCTCCTCATTCTCTTCCCCAATTTGCCTGCCTTCCTCTACCACTCCATCCCTATCCTCACCTCTGCCTTTGTATCTCATCCCCACCCTCTTTGTGTCGTTTGTCTCTGTACTTCCTGTGCCATTTTCCACATCACCATTTGTCCCTTATTCAAGTGTGATTAAAGCCTCACTCCCTACTGCCATCATAGTCTTCCTGGCAAGTACCAAAAGAACCAGGCATGCCTATCCCGTTTCATAATTCAATAAATTAATTAGCAATTCAGAGACAAAAAGAGCATAAAAATGCCTTAGTCAGCAAACACTTGACTTACTTGCCAAGGGAGATGACAGCCAAAGTTATAATATAAATTCACTTCTAAAATTTTACAAAGAAGGCTGACATATGATTGTAAGCAGCACTGCTTCAAAACAGAAACAGTTAAGGGCAGAACCATGTTAAAGAATGTTTGGTAAGAGATTTCAATTTATATTATTTTAGTTATTGTATATAGTTTTCCTACCTAATTCACTTGAATCAGTTCATAAAAATGTTTACCGTGCATTTCTATATTCATTATTTTTTCTATAGACTTTGATATGTTAGTTTTGTTGAATATTTTTTACTCTTTTTTTTAATTTAAAGGATGGTTCAGGGATTGGGGTAGATACATTGGTAAATATAGAAGATGTAAAAGAAAATATAATTTTAAAATGTTTGTAAATCTCCCGTTTTTCTTCTTCTGTTGTCCTATTTTCATCATCAAAT